TCACAGTACCAGTATGCTTTTCCCACATGTCTTCGTTTGTGTGGGTACGCAACACCGGTACAATTAACTTAGAGGGCCTCGTGGTACCGATACTCAGGACTGGTACTCCTTGCCCACTTTTGCCTATTTTACCTACTTTTCATTTCCAACTCATTCATAAGCATATCATGTCCATCCAATACATGTATAATAAAGATTTTCATTTAATACAAGATCCATACACGCTCGATTACATTCATTGTCCATAAATTACAAATCAAAACTAGTTTTCAAAAAGTTTTACAAAAACACAAAATAAAGCCACATTTAGGCTTTGTTCAACCATGAGGTCCCATGCGAAAGCCTTCCTTCAGCGTATATCCCACACTCGAAATATTTTCCCGTATAGGGTGAGTCATGCCTTGTAGAGTATTTCTTACTAAGGTTATTTCCCATCCAAAGTGCATGTGAAAGTTCATACAACTCTTTACAACCAACAACACCCCAAAACAAGAATATATTATTCAATATTGGGATCTTAGCAATGTGGTGCCTTGAAATGAGATGAGACTCACTATTTCAACCCAACCTGAGCACTCATTGGCTCCTTTTCCCCCATTCAATGACGTGGGTAATCAAAAACGACTTTCCAAGCCCCGCCATTGGCGCTGCACAGCCAATGACTATTTAAAAATCTTCGGGTCTCTCTTAGAGTGGGTATTTGTGGACTTATAGCAACGACACCCAATCGACAAGGAATTTACGGACATCCACCAATGGTTTCACATACATCGACACTCTTTATAGGCTCTTATACCAACGGAGTGCGTCCCCGATCACTGGGCTTCTCACCATTAGTAGTGTGACTGTCTGAATCAAAAGATAGAGATTCACCCAAGGAAAAGAGGACGGTGCTGAAGGCCAAAGTAAGTGAGAGTGAAAGTGAATCCACCATTAGTAGTGTGACGCCCCTAAAACTGAGATTCCTTTAACAACCATTGACCACCTGTCAACCCATGAAAATACCCGTGATTGTCGCATTACTTGACATCACTTCAATCACATTCCCTTTAATTCGGGTCGTAATCCACACGTGTAATCTATGTACATTTTCTCATTCAATTCAACCGTGGTCGATGCACCACATTTTCTACCCCATTATAGTTCATTTCTTTCCTTAGAAATGAATAACCCATGGCCCAAAAGCTTGGCAACGTAATATTGAAATTTCAAAATTTTGGAAAGAGTCCCGGTACACAGTACCAGTACGTAGAACGGGTACGCTTTTCCCCCTAGACCTCGCAATACTGGTACGATTTTCCACTGGTCTTCGTTGTACGGATACGCAACACCAGTACTATTAACACACTGGGCCTCGTGGTACCGGNATAAAAATTTTGGAAAGACTACTGATAAGCAGTACCAGTACCCAGAACCAGTAGGCTGTTCCCACAAGTCCTCGCAGTACCAGTACGCTTTTCCCATTGGTCTTGGTTGTGCGGGTACGCAACACTGGTACTATTAACTCATAGTGCCTCGTGGTACCGGTACGCAAGACTGGTACTCCTTGCCCACTTTTGCCTATTTTACCTACTTTTCATTTCCAACTCATTCATAAGCATATCATGTCCATCCAATACATGTATAATAAAGATTTTCATTTAATATAAGATCCATACACGCTCGATTACATTCATTGTCCATAAATTACATATCAAAACTAGTTTTCATAAAAGTTTACAAAAAATCAAAATAAAGGCACATTTAGGCTTTCTTCAACCTTGAAGTTCCATAGGAGGGCCTTCCTCCAGCCTATATCCCGCACCCAAAATATTTTCTGATATAGGGTGAGCCACGCCCAATAGAGTATTTCCAACTAAGGTTATTTCCCATCCTAAGTGCATATGAATGCTCATGTAACTCATTACAACCAGCAACACCCCAAAATAAGAATATATTATTCAATATTGGGATCTTAGCAATGTGATGCCATGAAATAAGATGAGATTCACTCTTTCTACCCAAACCGAGCCCTCCCTGGCTCCTTTTCCCCCATTCAATTACATGGTCAATCAAAACCGACTTTCCAAGCCCCGCCATTGACGCTATACACCCAATGACTTTTTAAAAATCTCCGGGTCTTTCTTGGAGTGGGTATTTATGGACTTACACCAACGACACCCAACTGACAACAAATTCATGGACTTCCACCAATGGTTTTTTGTACATTGACACATTTTATGGCCTCTTATACCAAATGAGTGTGTCCCCGATCACTGGGTCTCTCACCATTAGTAGTGTGACCACCTGAATCGGAAGAAAGAGATTCACCCAAGGAAAAGAGGATGGTGTTGAAGGCCAAAGTAAGTGAGAGTGAAAGTGAATCCACCATTAGTAGTGTGACGCCCCTAAAATTGAGGTTCCTTTAACAACCGTTGACCACCTGTCAACCCGCGGAAATACCCGTGATTGTCGCATTACCTGACATCACTTCAATCACATTCCCTTTAATCAGGGTAATAATCCACACGTGTAACCCGTGTATATTTTCTCATTTAATTTAACCGTGGTCAATGCACCACATTTTATACCCCATTATAGTCCATTTGTATCCTTAGAAACAAATAAACCATGGCCTAAAAGCTTGGCAAGGTAATATTGAAATTTCAAAATTTTGGAAAGAGTACTGGTACACAGTACCAGTACGCAAAACCGGTATGCTTTTCCCATTGGACCTCACAGTACCGATACATTTTTTCCACTAGTCTTTGTTGTATAGGTATGGAGTACTGGTACGCAGCACTGGTACTATTAACTCACTGGGCCTCATGATACCGGTACTCAGTACCGGTACTCCTTGCCCAATTTTGCTTATTTTACCTGTTTTTATTTCCAACTCATTCATAAGCATATCATGTCCATCCAATACATGTATAATAAAGATTTTCATTTTATACAAGATCCATACACGCTCTATTACATTCATTGTCCATAAATTACATATCAAAACTAGTTTTCATAAAATATTTACAAAAACTCAAAATAAAGCCACATTTAGGCTTTCTTCAACCTTAAGATTCCATGCGAGGGCCTTCCTTCAACCTATATCCCGCACCCGAAATATTTTCCCATATAGGGTGAGCCACGCTTAGTAGAGTATTTCCTACTAAGGCTATTTCTCAACCTAAGTGTATATGAATATTCATGCAACTCTTTACAACCAGAAACACCCCAAAAAAAGAATATATTATTCAATGTTAGAATCTTAGCAATGTGATGCCATGAAATGAGATGAGACTCACTCGTTCAACCCAACCCNCAACTCTTTACAACCAGAAACACCCCAAAAAAAGAATATATTATTCAATGTTAGAATATTAGCAATGTGATGCCATGAAATGAGATGAGACTCACTCGTTCAACCCAACCCGAGCCCTTCTTGGCTCCTTTTCCCCCATTCAATGAGATGGGTAATCAAAATTGGTTTTCCAAGCCTTGCCATTTCACGCTACACACCCAATGACTATTTAAAAATCTCTGGGTCTTTCTTGGGGTGGGTATTTATGGACTTACACCAACGGACACCCAACCGACAGGGAATTCATAGACTTCCACCAATGGTTTCACATACATCGACAAACTTTATGGGCTCCTATATCAACGGAGTGCGTCCCCGATCACTAGGTCTCTCACCCGAGGGATAGTCTAGCCCTTCTTGCTAATCCCGATCCAATTCTTTATCCATATCACCATGTAACTCAGTTGAATTTTTAATCCATCTGTCCCGAGCCCACCATCATCCACCTAGTTGGTGTTTGATATCAACCATGCACACACACACCCACACTCATGGTTGTGGATGCGTTTTCCCCATGCAAATGCAATGTAATGCACCACTACTTAATCAATGTCATGCCCATATGTAAAGAATGCCACATGACCAAAATTAACCACATTTAAACATATTCCATGGCAATTTATATCCAAAGAATATAATTACCAATTCCATCACAATGTTGATGTATCTATATGCATAAATCAACATCTTTATATCCAATCATACATCACAATCATGTTATTACATATTATGTGCCAATAACACACTCTATTCACAAGGAATAATAAAAACACATAACATGCCCACATAACAAAATTTCCATGGAATTACAGAAGTAATCACCACATATCAATTCCATGTTAGGAATTTATTTTAGCCCATTCTATACCCATTTCATCAATTTCCACAACATAGGTAAATGATATAAGTTTCTATCAACATACCCATTTCATATACCACACTAGGTTGTACATAAACCTAAGTAGAAAGGAACCCTACTTCTTGAAGCATAAAGAACACGTAGAAGACCTTCAAGAACTTCAATCAAGCTCAAACACTTAATTTCCTCAAGCCCCATTTTTGGAACTTTGGTAAACTCCTCGATTTTGGTACGTAGGCATAGCCTTTGACAGGGAGAATGATTTTCCCTCTTGGCTCGAACGGATTCGATCGCTTGAATTTTGTAGATCGTAGAGAGAAGTGGTGAACTTTCTCTTTTTCCCTTTCTTCTTTTCTCATGTTGAAACTGGCTGAAGAATGGGGGAGAATATGATTTTGCCCCTTATTTATACTCCCTAAACTCTTGGTCGACAACACGCAAACGACCCTCTTTTTTTCAGGTCCGTTTTTGCCCCGAAACGATTAAATTTTGTCCCGGTTTAAGTCCAAAATTTTTTTATTTTAACTTGCCTTAAATTATTTTCCAACATTCAAAATTTTATTTAAAATTCTCGTTTTTGGGTCACCGAGACTCGACCGCCTTGTAAAACGCAAAAAAATCTGACTATCTCAGAATTTGACAAAAATTGACGGGGTAACTAGATTTCGTGAGATGAATCCAACAATGAGCTATGTTTCATCATCCGAGTTTTAGAAAAATTCAAGTTTACAACCTATACCGTAGTGGCAAATTTCTATTTTGTCCTTTTTCGTAAAATTTTAAATTTACCCGGGTTTTACAAGTATGGACGCCTCTTCTCAAGAAGATGATGAGAATGGCATGGCTTTGGTTGGTTCTGATTCCTCTACCCTAGAAAAACTTTCAAGAGTGAAGTTGAAGCAAGAGCAAGTCCTAGAATGGTAGTAAAATACTTACAAAAAGAACAAGTCCCACCAAGGAGGTGGATGACTTAAATGTAGAGGTCTCTACGAATGAGGATGAGACTGAGAGCATGGAGGACATTCAAGATGTTTATAATCAATTAGATGAAGAGTGCCTCAAAGAAAAGAAAAGGATACTTTTACTGAGCATGAGGCTCAAAATGAATGAAGATTATAAGAAAACACTCCATGTGGACTTGCTGATGTCCAAAGCTCAAGTTTGTGGGATTGAGAAAGAAGAGAAGTCCTTGAAGGACAAGTTGAGCTTTCTTGAGTTGTTATGGGGTTGTCGAGACAAAGAAATGTCTTGAGTCTAAGTTCATAAAAATTGATAAAGACCTTCACAAATGACAAGAACTCACTAATAGACTTTCCCTAAGTTTCATAAAAATTAGATAAAATGTTGTCTATGGGGAAGAGTGTTAGTGAGAAGTGCTTGATCATCAAAGAGTACATCCAAGTGTAGGTGCTAAGAAAATAATAATTTATCTGTAAGTCCAAGGTCAAACCACAAGAATTAAAGGGAATGTAGATGTAAAGGAAAAGGAAGAACTAAAATTCTTAAAAAATATTGAATTGGTTCAAGAATGATTGAAAGTAAAATTTAAAGTAATCTGATCATGTCCATCAGATAATTATATTTATGCAATTTTTGATAATTCAGAAGATTTTTAACGTCAGTGTAGTCAAATGAAAAGTATGGCCTTGAAAATAGTAAGTTTGATTGATTTGAAAATAAGATTTGAAAAACTAGTTTGATAAAACTCATATGGAATTATAAGCATTGAATATACTTAGAACTCAATTTTGTTACAGAGTATAAAATTCTACTAAAACATCCAATCAATATTGACAAAATAAAGATATAAGATTAAGAATAAAATAATAATTGCATAAATATAACTGCTTGATGTTTTCTGTTGTTGTTCCTAACCTCAAAACATCATCCCACAATGTGTCTATGGCTTATGTATAGAAGGGAGTGTCACTCTCCCTCGGAATGATGCAAAAGATGGGGCAACGGAATGGTGGATGGAATGAAATGAAATGAACAAAATATGTGTGTGGAATGAAATGTGTATGTGAACAAAAGTGCTCCCCAAGTGCAATGAGTCTTTTGTGTGTCGTTGTTTTACTTGGAAAAGTATTCCAAGGTCTTCTCCTCAGGGAAGGAAAGTTCAAGTGTGTGAAAGTGATTTTGTGAACAAAAGAAAAAGTGTAAATTCTTGTAGTTGGTTTTGGTGAGTTTTGTTCTTAATGAAAATGCAAGAAAAAAAACGTTGACTAATCCAAAGAGGTCATTCCAATGGGAATCCCAACTCAACTCGAAACCTTCCTCCAATGGTGCATACATGAACGATTGATTCATGGGAAGCTAGGGACGAGATGGTGAGGATCCAAGCATAAACCATGACCAGGCCTATGGAATATCAAAAACTCACAACCCCATCCACTCTCAATCCAATCAAACCGAACCATCGTACACCAAGAGGAGGAAAGGAAATTAGTTGAAATCGCATGCCCAAGAGGAGATTTCCCTTGAATTAGCCAACTTAAAATCTAGCTACTCATGAAAGCAAGAAGAAAATACATAATGTAAAGAGACATAATGGAGAAATAAAGATTAGAACTTAAACTAATGCAAGGAATCGTAAACTAAGAAGAGCAATATTCAATACCCAATTTAAAGTATCAAAATGAAGAAAACTTGAAAGCAACAATGGTGGATTGAAGAACATGTAACTAAACTTGAAATATATTTGAAATAGCTAAGATTAAAGTGCAAGAATTAAGGATTACAAGAAATTTGAAGCTTACTACAATTGAAATGGAATGGAAAATGCAAAAACATAAGCTTTGGCACTATTCATTTTCTTCTTCCTTGGACTACTCCTAAGCATAGGTAGCCACACTTCCAAGCTTGTGAAATGCTGAATATATGGTGTGTGATAGACTTCAAATTTCGTCCATGAGGTTCCCCATAACCTGTGTCTAGGCCTCCCATCAATAGGAGGCTGAGTTGAATGGGTATGGCAGGCTTAGCCTGCATTCCCTAGGCTTCATCCTTCCTCTCCCATCCTCATCAATGCCAAGCCTCAAAAGTCTCCATCAAGGGTGTAGAAGGCATGAAGATGTGCAGAAAATGTTGGAGGGCAAGTGGGAGAAGTGTAAGTGGGACCCCCAAGCAAGTGGAGCATGAAAACAGTCATTCTAGGCATTCTGCGCAAAACCTTCCAGAAGATTTTTTGTAAACCTTTCGGAAGGTCGATTCCAGTAGGGAATACCTTCTGGAAAGTCTTTCAGAAGGTGACAACTCAGAACCACTTTTAGTAAAATTGTCATAACTTTTGATCCAGCCGTTGGATTGAGCTAAAATGTTGACACAATACAGAAGACATCCAGATCTACAACGTATAGGTTTTGTACCTTTTCAGATTCAAAGTGGATCATGGTCAAAGATGGAAAAAACAACGGTATTATGTCAAGACCTTGTTAAACCAGTGGGCTAAACCTTCCGGAAGGTTTTCATCCAAATTGTATTTTTCTTGGTTTCTTCACCTTCCAAGCCTCCCTATCCTCATTCAATGTGTCCATCTCTTCACCACACATCCACACTTAGTTGCAAAGCTCTAAAAGCCATCATTTATGCTATAATTACCTGCAACATCAAATTTTTCACATTATTCCTAACTTTAACTAATTATAAATATTTAATATGCAAATTTAAGTTAAAAAGCATGAAATGAGGCCAATAAATATGCAATGTTTTGTGTTCATCAATAATATCCAAAAGAACAACCATAAATCCATATCCTAAGTTAAAGTGTACAAAGAGAAACTACTCGCTAACCATGGGTAGATATAAAAAAAAGATGTACAAGATGAGATCTAAAATCTCCTCCCGCAAAAGAAAGAGCCTATATTTATACTAAAAATGCTAGGGTTAGCCTTAAAACAAATCCTTTCCAAAAAAGGAGTACATTTAGGTCAAAACTCATGCATCCAATCTTGGAGGTGCGTCCCCACGCGGGTACTATATCTGCCCAAATTTTGAGCTCAAATTTTTGCGTAGTTAGAAGCCGATTCATGAAAGTTTCATTTAATACAATTTTGTAGCTATTAATGTCTTTTTTCCAATGCCACAAAAATCATGTCAATTGGACACCAGGATAAAAAGTTATCTTCTATAATCCTTATTCAAACCTTAACTTCTAGAATTCTTTCTCAATCCATTTCTAAATGACTTTCCTACTAATTTGGACTCTCACAAGTATTAAATGTCTGCCCTATCTTTAAATCTTCATCTTTTAATATTGACCACTCAACCCTTATCAAATATCTCCTTCTCTAATGTGACTTTTCCTCTAGAGTTTGCATTCACTTTTATTTTTCATTATTACTTTTAATCAACCAAATTATTTGCAAAATAAATCAAACAGCTAGAACAATTATCAAGCTAAAAAATTAAGGAATCTAATACATTTAATCACAAATAATTTATAATTAACCAATTATTATATATAATAAAATAGCACTTTTGCTGATTAATTACACCCCTAAACCTGAATATTACTAGTTCCTAGTAATACATGAATCCCAAAATTTTAAAAAATAACTTAATAAAATAAATCACAAATCCAATTTCATAGGAATCACGATTGAATTTAGCATATGCATCAAATCTTTAAACCCTTAGATTACCCCTAGTGGACGATGAATAGTCTTGTGAAGATTTTTCTTGAAGACACCTACAAACTTCGTACAATTTATTAATCACCTGAATCCAAAAATATAACTTTAAATAAATATTAAACCATGAAAAACATCCAATTGAAACACAAATAAGTTAACTCAAAGCCACATCATAGAACTAAATGCCATATAATAGTATTCACATATTGGATTCTCATTCAAAACTCATGTGTAATGTGAAATTATCATGCAAGATTCAAAATTTAGTGAACAATACTTAACCCCTTTAATCATGAATGACTAGCTTTGATTCAAACCTTATCAAGGTATCCACTCGGCAAAGAATTCACTCCAATTATAGTGACTATTCATACTTCGTAGTACCATATGTGAGCATAATTAATGAAAATAAAAACAATAGATAACTCACATGCATTCATATGAAATAACCACTATTTAAATAAAAGAACTTGTTGTAAAACCTAGGAAAAATTTGAACTTTTTCCAATAAAGGGCAAAATAGTAATTTATCATCGTTATGCGGATTTGAGATAAGTATTTCTCTAGACCTTGGATGAGGAAACGGACTTCCCCATTGGATTCGTATCGCGAAATCCAATTACCCTGCCAAATTTTGTCAAATTCTGAGATAGTCGAATTTCTGCACGTAGTTCGAGACGACTGGGTGACAGATGACCTCACGAACGTCCCCATAAATAAATTTTATAGAAATTCCTTATAATTGGATTAAATTTCAAATAAAATTACTTTGAACTTAAACCGAGATGTAATGAATCATTTTGGGATAAAAAACGGACCCAAAAATAGAAAATTGTGTGGTGCGACGTGCACNAATTTCTGCACGTAGTTCGAGACGACTGGGTGACAGATGACCTCACGAACGTCCCCACAAATAAATTTTATAGAAATTCCTTATAAGTGGATTAAATTTCAAATAAAATTACTTTGAACTTAAACCGAGATGTAATTAATCATTTTGGGATAAAAAACGGACCCAAAAATAGAAAATTGTGTGGTGCGACGTGCACCGTACATTCGGGACTTTAAATATCGACCTAAATCAGATATTTTGGGGGAGATATTTCATTTTTTCAGCACACCAAATGTGTGAGAAGAGAGGAGAGAGAAGAGAGAAAAGAGAAGAAAAAATTCACGATCTTCAAGCTTCTCCCTTCGATTCTCGGAGTTCCGTCGCTCGAATCAACTCGAGCCAAGAACTAAAATCGACCACGTCGACGAGGGATTCACNGAAGAGAGAAAAGAGAAGAAAAAATTCACGATCTTCAAGCTTCTCCCTTCGATTCTCAGAGTTCCGTCGCTCGAATCAACTCGAGCCAAGAACTAAAATCGACCACGTCGACGAGGGATTCACAACCACACCAAGAACGAGGGATTTCACTGAAGATCCAAAGAAGAGCTTTTGGGGAAATCAAGATCTTGGGGTATTGAAGGGTGTTCTAGAAGTTGTAGTCTTCATCTTACGCTACAAGAGGTAGGGTTCTTCCTACTTTGGTTTCATTCCTATCCTTTAGTTTAGATAAGAAAAAGGGGCTGTTATGGATTGTTTTGGACTGATTTTATGAACTATTTTGCACTG